TTCAGTCCTTTTTTCTAGTTGAAACAGTTCAGGGCCAGCTGTGCCGTTTGGTTTTAATTGGAAACTGTCTCTTTAAATTTCAAGGAGCTCTGTGCACATGCGTAGTAGAACCCTCCGAGGGTGGGGCTGGGGTGCCCACTAGCTCAGGCACCCCTACAGTCACCTGAATGGAGGTACACAGACAGCAAGGGACCAGTGAACAGCTACCAAGAGAAAAGAATGTCCACACTTTTATCTCTGCTGTTCTGCCAGGCGTCTGTGGCCGCTCCGATCCTTCCCCCGCCTGGAGCAACTGAGCTCCCGGACTAGAAAGCAATGGATTTCTTGCTTCTACCACAAATTTCCCCAACTGTAAGCCTTCCAACTTTCTAAATATTCCTTTGTATGTAGTTCAGAGTTCTGGGACCATCCCCTGAGCCTGCTTGTTCGGGTATTCTGTGTTGTTGCTGGCGGGGCTACTTTACTGCAATTCTACCCGATCCGCCATCTTGTTTGTTCTCTAAGAGGTCTGTTTTTAAGAATGAATGTCTGACCCATCAAAAAGTTGACTAAGATGGGCAAATGGAAAGTGGCCAGAGCTAGGAAGCTAGGAAACCAGGAGGTGCTCTTGGGCACAACCTTCTCAAGGACTTCACTCCCCACTTGAAGACAAAATTCAAGATATGAAGGTCAAAGCTCTGTTGTGGTGCATTGGTTTGCCCTTGTAAGAGTCACAGTAAATGCATTCAGTTTACACCAGAAACAGAGAATAGCGCTGGACTAAGAACTCTCTCCCGATCTGTACCCTGTGGGGTGTCGTCCGCTTCCTACCAGAGGATTTAAAAAGTTGAGCCAGGTAGATAAAGTAAGATAGTGAAAACCCCCTAAATGCTACCTTACTTTTTTATTATTATTGTTGTAGTTGTTGAGAATATATCCAACAAAACATAACCAATTCAATAATTTCTACATGTACAATTTAATGACACTAATTGTATTCTTTATTGTACAACTATCTTTACCCTCTTTTTCTGAATTGTTCCTTCCACATTAATAATAGTCACTGCCTACTAAGGTTCCCATCTCATCTTTCAAGTTGCTGCTGTCAGTATGATTCCATATATTGTTGTTAAGTACCGTGGAGTGGGTTCCAACTCATAGCAACTCTGCACAGGGTTTCTGAGGCTGTAAATCTTTACAGGAGCAGAAAGCCTCATCTTTCTCCCGCGGAACAGCTGGTAGTTTCGAACTGCCAACCTTGAGGATAGCAGCCTGATTTGTAACCACTATGCTACCAGAGCTCCTTTGATTCCATATAGCTAGTTCTTAAAAGAGCATAATGCTCAAGGCAGACATTTTTCACTAATTGAGTTTAAGTGTTGTTTGGTTTTAAGACTTAAGGGAATGTTTTTGGTTTAAGGTTTAAAGATTATCTTTGGGCAATAGTTTTAGGGGCTTATCCAGCCTCCATGGCTCTAGAAATTCTGCATTCCATGAAAATTGAAAATTCTATTCTGCATTTTCCTCCTTTTCATCAGGATTCATCCATAGAATCTTTGATCAAATGTTCACCTACTGCTACCCTCTTTTGGAGGAGATTGGGGCTTTATATAATGCTAATTCTATCACAGAGACTTTGCTGCAGATTTTAAAAAAGGTTAAAAGGCACTTTATATAAATCTAAACATGAGATTTGTCAACATGGTTACTAGTCTCCATCTTATAGAAAACAACAGTTGCATTGCTCCCGACTCCTGAGGCCCGCCTGTGTCTCTGAGTGGAAGTCTCCTGAAGGATTTTCAAAGCAGGGTGCCAGGCCTTCCTTAAAGGCATTTATCTCTAGATGGACACAAATCTTTCAAGTTTTCAGTCAGCACCCACTCATTAACTGTTTGCAGTACCTAACGGCTCCACTTAATTGAGGTTTAATATTCAATATAACTGATGTATGAATCAGCTATATATGGTAAGGCACTGCAGGATAAGCATGGGACTGCTGTTCAAACAGCCACAAGGGTGGCTGTTCAAACCCTCCAGCCTCTCCATGAAATTCCTACTTGTTAAATGCCTTCGAGTTGGTTCCTTCTCATAGCTTTGGATTTCCTGTATTGGGTTTCCAAGGAGCAGTTGGTTGGTTTTAACCGCCACCTTGCAGTTAGCAGCCCAGAGCTTGTCCTACAGCGTCATCCCAGGACTCCTGGAAGCCCTATACAGGGTTGTTATATGAGTTGGCACCGACTCGACAGCATTTAACAAGGTATTGCCAAAATGAAATATACTTATTTTTTATGATACTTCTCATACTTCTCCTAAAAAGAGTTGTCTGATCTATACTTAAATTTCAGCTACTATGTCAGTATATGATCTGTGTGTGATTTTTCCTTTACTGTGACTGCATGCAGCAAACAGGCCCTCACTGTATCTTGTCATGTGAAAGTCAAGAGGCGGGGAAGCATTCCATCATGCTCCCTCTCCAGAGACGAAAGAGCAATCAGGAGAATGGGATAATAGTAGAGTTTCCATTTTGGAACGTATGATTCCGAACTAGTGGAAACTCAGTATCTCACCCCCTCCAGTATTTCCTCTGTTTACAGTGTTATTGACATGAGCTAAGGAAGAGAGGAGACGTCATACACGGATTGAACAAAAGCACCTGTTCAAAATACACTCTTAATAACAGGGCAGCCTAATGTTTTAAAGAATTTTAAACAGATTTACTTTTATTATTTATTTTGAAATTACATTTCACATTTGTTGAAAAATGAGGTACCATAATGCTATAGCAGTGTGCCTGTGAGAAAAAGGTTTCCTCACAAGGTGCTTGTAGTTCAGTTCATTTTCCTTAAGGAGTGACTATTAGGTAGAAATGGAAAGTGGACAGGAACTGTCAGGAGAATATGAGTTGCGTTTTCATTGCAGTTACCAGGGCGTACTTATCTGGAGCCAGGCTCACTCTGCTGGCAAATGCATTTGTTTGCAAGTTTTACTTGCTTGGCTGTTCAGCTTCGTGGACACAGCTGGGCTCTTCTTTGTGCTTGTTGGTAAGTGCCTTCAGTTGAGTCAGTTTCTGAGTAGCAGCTGGTGGGTTTGAAGCAATGACCTTGCAGTTTAGCAATCCAGTGCTTATCCTACAATGCCCTGTCATAATTCATTTCCACATAAATATTGTACAGTCAGGTAAGCCCTGTACCAAAGTGTCCTTTATCTGCCATGTCCTTTATCTGCCATGTCCTTTATCTGCCTCGGTTCCCATCCTGCCCTCTTCTGACTCAGCTTTCAGATAGCCTTCAAAGTCTAAAACAAAGCCCTCCTCCCACAGACTCCTGGGAAACAGTTCAATGTTGTAGCTTCTCCTATTAGCCATTGTCATCTTTGCTTTTCCAAGAAAATACATCAGTCAAAAAGTAAACAGTTACTCCACGATCATTTTGAGAGTCACAGCCAGGAATCCTGCACACTCCCCTTATCTGTCAGTATTTTCATGTTTACACATGTACTCACAAACACACCCACATAGAGATAGAAAAGATTGGGAGAGGGTAATACACATGGACCCTGAACTGTTTTCTTCTGACTGCAAGATATGAAGAAATCTCAAAACTCCTCTTGCAAGAGTGCTTTTCCCTCCTACCTGCTGGGTTCAGTCTACATAAAGGCAAACCACCAATCTAACAGACCAGTCACGTTCCATCACATACCACCCCACTACATTCTGTGATGAGGCATTCTGGTTTCCCCAAAGAGTGATGGTTTGCTGACAATGATCCTTTGGGGTAAAGAGTACTTTAACTTTTTTGTTCCAGAATCCCTTTTACTTAGTCCTATGAGATTCTGCTATCCTGGTGTCACACTGTAGGATATGCGCTGGGCTGCTAACTGCAAGGTCTGTGGCTCAAACCCTACAGCTGCTCCTTGGAAACCCTATATAGGGTTGCTGTGATTTGGAACCGATTTGATGGCACCTAAAAACATGAGCCTTTGATGTGTGAATACTCTTAGGATTCCTGGGGTTTGTGTTTTTAATAGAATTGTACCTAGTCTCCTGGTGTGGCACTGTGGGTTAATGCATCAGACTGCAAAGCCATTTGAACCACAAGGTCGGCGGTTCAAGCTCACCAGTCACTTCTCGGAAACCCTATACAGGGTAGCTATGGGTCAGAACCGACACGACGGCACTTAACAACAACAACCTAGAATCATCTGGTTAACTTCAGATGAGAATGACTCTCTTTTCTAGCTTAATTTTTAGAGTATTTTACCTGCACATTGATTAGTCTTTCTGCAAACTTAACACCTGTCACACCAATAAAGAGATGACCCCACCCCCTTGCTGCCCAAATTATCCCAACTTCTGCAGTTTCCTCACTTCAGAGGACAGATAAACACATCTGAACAAAGGTGTGGGATTTTATTTTATTTCCCTCAAATCATCTCTTTCATGACACAGATCTCTGACATGCTCTTCAGAGACACTCAGGAGTGGGGTAGGTGGCTAAGCAGGCACAGAAGATGGTTCTGTTTTTCTATAGCATGGCATATGGGAACGATGAGAATTCATAAATTTAGTGTATCCTATAAAACTCAAGAAGTGGAACCACTTTACTCTCTCTTTTAGATAACTTAATGAAATATCATGACTCTTTGAACTACCGTGTATCCTAATCCCTTAGTTGAAAATCAGTCAACATTTATTGAATGTGGAAATGGCAGCCATTAGTCATGGCCACTGGGCTTTTCTCTGGGCAAAAAACTGAACAAGTAGACTGTCTTAAGGTACATGGGACCACCTACTACCTCTCAGCGCCCGCCTGCATCAGGCTTAGTACAGAGGGAGCCCTGTCCCTGTGCCAACATCCCTTCAAGTGACTTAACACCTGTAGTCAAAATTCCAAAACTGCTATCCTATAAAGTAACAAGTAACTCAAGATTGATTTAAGATTTCCTATATATTTTCAATACCAAGAAAATAATTTTAACCAAAATTACACTATGAGGCACATTTGGCAGTTAGCGTAAACAAATCACATGCCAGAAGAGGCTTGCTTCCAAGTGTGGAGAAAATGTGTGGAAAAAGGCCTACGTGCAGATGGATGCCTCGGTCTTCCCCATTGACTTTAACAGCTGACTTTTCAAACCAGCTTTTCTTCTCAACAGTGACATTTTTGATGGCCCATTAGTACGGACTTTGGTTAAAACTGCTAGTAGAGGTGGTCTGTGGAAGGCTCACTTCTGCTCTGTCTTATGAGACTGACCCGGAAGCGACCTTTGTCACCTCCCTTTTATCAAGTGATCTCTGGCATGCTCCTCAGAGACACTCAGGAGTGGTGTAGGTGGCTAAGCAGGCACAGAAGATCAGTTCTGTTTTTCTAACCATTCCTTAATCAATTGATGGGCAATCGCCAACTTGGGGGGCAACCAAAATGGGAAGGTTCCCTCCTGTTTTGAGGTATATGGGGTCTTTCTCCTCATAGCTGTGGCCACCTCTTCATGGCTGAACCAGGCAGCTGCCTCCAGTTCTCTAAAGTTCACTTGGATCTGAAAGATACAAGGAGGAGCAGGCTGTGAGGTTCAGAGCTACCAAAAAATTGTTCCAGAATCTAAGGCTGGAAGAAAATCAGTTTGAGATATTGCCTGGGATCAAAAGAGACATCATTAATAGATGAGAGTTAAATATATTTTTAAAAAAAATAGTGGTGGTGGGGGGGAGTAATATGTATTCTGAAGAGTGGTTATCATGAAGGGTAAATTATAAATAATATTTGTTTTTCATTGTGCTTCTATTGATTAACTCTTAGAAGAACACACAAATGTTTTTCTTTGTTAAAAGTAAAGGGTTAATGGTAATCAAGAGCGTTGTATGGAGTGGAGCGTGAGATCTTACCTAGAAAAGCGGCAACAACAGAGACAGTAGCAGCTGCGGGCTCCAGGCCCATGGACTGAGTAAGACTGTGCGCCTATGGGTAGGAGGCTGGCTTGCAGAATGTGCCCTTTAGACATTTAAATGAATATACATTTTTTGTTTTGTATTGTATGTGTACATCGAATACTTTTACTTTGTTCATTTGTGAAATATAAGATGTAAATGGTAAGCCACAGGGAGGAAGCAGGATAACCATTGTTGCAGGGAGGGAATTGTAATCATTGAGATGAAACAAAGTATAATTTGCTGAATGTAAAGCTGATGATCTTGTCAGTAAACCTTCACTCAATTCACGATAAAGAGTTAAAAAAAAGCATTGTATCTTATTTGCAAAGAGCACAACAGTAGAAGCCGTGCCCACAGGTGATAGAGAATCACGGTACAGAAATGGAAGTGGACAGCAGGCAGACTTGGGACATCTGCCAATGATGCTACAGAAGAACAAGATGAGGTGAGAGACGCCAACACGAAGTTCCTATGATTTTACGTCATTAGTCCCCGACCAGTCCTGAAATCAGTCATTAAATTTGCCTACAGTTACTATCCCTCTATATCCAAGGGGTATTACTTCCAGAAGATAAGGGTATATCTGCACATAACCTATATACATTCTCAATTTAAATCATCTCTAGCTTATTTAATACGATGTAAAGAATAGTGTTACATAAGCAGCACATTAAGCTCCATCTTAGCCTTTTGAGGTCTTACTTTGACTATTGTGCCCTGAATTTAGTTGATAAGAGCTTTGCTATCCAAAGTTGTCTTAATTCCCATCAAATGATTGAGAAGGACCGTGCAAATAGGGTGCCCGGAATTCTAACACTGGGATTGGTTAGTTTTGCCATCCTGCTAGGTTTAAGGAGCCATCTCAGGAGCAGGAACAATAGATTCCAGGACCACCGAGAAAGAAGAGCATGAGTGGAGTATGAGGTTCCCTGAAGTGGTGATAGCAGAGCTAATAGCATGGAGAAACAGAACAGCTGTGGACTCCCCTGCCCTTGGATTGGGTAATGTTGAGTGCTTTCTGACAGGAGTGCTTGCAGAATGTGTCCTTTAGGCATTCACAGACTGGCTAAAAGAGCTTTGTAACACTTGCCCAAGCAAGGCTGAGGCCAATGGTCTACATGGCTGCGAGGCCAGAAGAGCAAGGCATGCCTACGGTAGCTAAAGAAGTGTTCTTGACTGGAGACCTGCTGCATCCTGTTGTTGTTGTTGTTGTTGTCAGGTGCCATCGAGTCGGAACTGACTCATAGCGACCCCATGCACAGCAGAACGAAACAATGTTCGATCCTGGGCCA